TAATCTCTCATATAATATACATCCTCGTACTCTACAATACATCTGCAATGGTGTATATACAACACAGAGGATGAGGAGGAAGAGCTCAAGTAGCCCTACTACCATTATCACTACTACTACTATTCTTACCTTAGTTGGATTATGGCCAACTACTGCTGCTGCAGTTATACATTGTGCTAATAATCTAGGTGATAGATGCATTATATGATGTGGTATACGGCGTATAAGGGAACGGAAAGTCCCTAAGTAATAATAATAATAATTACTACTATTATTATTAAACCATTATCATCTTCACATTACTCCTATCTGATGTCTCTAAATAGGCCAATACACGTAATGCTCGAGCAACATATCTATAATAATAATGATGATTGTTATGAGTTTGTTATTGTTATTATTACTTGCCACTCATAACCTTATGATATTTCCATACTTCGTTACCAAATCTCATAATCATATCAGGATCATCTTCTGCTGGCCATTTTAATATCATATATCTAATTATCATAATACCATACATATATGATGATAGTATTATTATTATTACAATTCAGAAATATCAACAAGATTCCACCAACGATATTCATGTATCCTATGAGGTAGCTCTCGACCTACAACTATCTCTACCATTATTAGAACAACACTATGTTACTGTTGTTGTTGTTACTGATCGTTGTTATTATTACCTAGAACGGTGAAGAACTGCTTATTACCATAACGCATAGATAAAAATGCTCGTACAACATCACCAATAGCATCTTCATCAAATTCATTAAAGTTGTCCTGAACAACATAATTACGTTATGTGATCATCATGATCATGATAATCTGTCATTAATACCTCTATCTCATCTGTTAGTATATGTAAGAATTCATCATGCTTCTTAACCCTTGTACTAGCAAATGCTAATACAATGTCAGCTAATTCTCGTGGTGATGTTGGTGGTAATGTATTATCGATTAACCATGTATTACACGCATGATCCATAACCGATCTAAGATAACAATAAGCTCATGATAGATACTACTAGTAGTAGTAGTATTATAACCTAATCCATTGAGGGTGATGAATACCACATCTAGTGTATGCTGTAAATAAAGCCAACAACACCTTGGTATTATTTATTGATGTTGGTTTGATAGCCTAATATTATTATAACCATCACTAATAGAATGATATTACTATTATTACTTGATAAAGTGAGGTCATAAATGGTTGATTAATATAAGCCAATGGTCTACTTAAGAAATATCGTTCAGGATGTGCAGTTCCTAATTGTAATACAACATTCATACATTCATATCATAATCATAATTCTCTTACTATGTATAACCTTTGGTCGTATTCTATCAAATGCAAGTAGTATCTTGATCATATGGGCATCATTAAGATCAGGTAATCTCTCATTAACTCGTGTTGATATACGTTGAAGGATGATATCATCTATAATAGAAACAACAACAGCAGCATGATGATGATGATTAGGTTGTTGTTGTTGATTACCGGGTACTCTTCTACTCCTATTGGATGGATGATGATACTTATAAGCAAATGGTACTGTCTCTGTTACTGCTAATGTAAAGTCATCCATATCAATAGGATCAATATCCCTAAAAGATATTATTAAGATATTGTTATCACACCTACTACCCTGTGGCTATCTTCACTCTATTAGGATGTACCATAATAGGTAATAGTCTCTTCCTTCCCCTGTCCCCTATCATAGATTCCATCTTGTCATCATCATCCTTTTTGTCTATATGTAATGATGAACCCATATTAGGTAGCTTAGTACTCCATCTTCTCCATGGTGGCATATTAGTGGTATCTATCTTATATCGACGACTCTGAAGTAACAACATGATGATAATAATAATAATAATCATTATTATTATACAACTAAACCTACTTCATAGTTCAATCCACCATACTTCATTGAATGATGATAATAGTATCCATATTGTAATAATACCATATTACAACAGCTACTCCTACTG